CTTTTAATATTCTCTTTAGGCTCAAATCAACTCTACACACTAAATCACTCTCTCTCTCATTAACAAAACATTTATCCTGCCTATAATTGAATATGCATGCATTGCTGTCACCCCGCTCTCAATCGCAGCCCTTGACCGTCTTGAGCGAATCCAGCGCAAGGCGGCCAGAATTTGCCTCCGTCTCCCCCTCTACACTCCTCTGAATCATTCAACACTGCTCCATCGGCTCAAATGGCCAACAATGTTCTCTCGCCGCAAAGTGAAGCTCACCCTTCTTGCCCACTCCATAAAATACCAATATGCCCCACAACACATACGCATGCTGAACAACCCCGCTCAAGTTACGGCCCAGTACAGCCTTCGACACACACGCACTTGGCACCTCCCACCCTCCAGAACCGATCGCTGTAAAGACTCCCCACTGTACAAGTCCCTAGAATACTACAATGCCCTCCCTGCTAGCATTCGTGACGTCTCCTCCCGGCCTGCTTTCAAACAAGAAACCTGCTCACTGCTAATTAACTCAATCTGCTCCTGCAGCGCTCACCCTCTCCCATACTTGTAAAATTCAAAGTGATGTAAATCTCTTTCCAATTGCTTAACCCACAATCTCACCTTCTCATAAATTTATCTCTTATTGGCGATGGTGCCATCGTGAGAATAAAGAATTCAAATTCAAAAAAAGTCAACTAAACAGACTTCAAATGATACTTTTTTAACTCGAAAGGGACTCAGAACTCAAATTGATGTTCCCTAAAGACAGTATGTCTGAGAATACCAAATTATGTGTACAAGTCGATCTCTCCGATTTCCCTCAAAATTTGCACGTAGGTTCCCTTTGGGGTGAAGATCGACTGTGCAAAACACTTGAAAAATTTCTGACGGGAGCCTTGAAACTGGCATACCCCTCAAAGATGGTCAAAAAATAACATCATTTATGAGTCTAAAAACGAGTCTCGCCACAGGGTACACGAACAAGCTAGGAACAAAATTCCTTGAAGCCAACATTGCCTTACCTTAGAAGAGTTCCTGGGACAGCACAGCTTAGCCATGCCAGCACCCCAGAAGACAAGGGCCATCAACCCCTGACGCCTCAAATGATCGTACTGAAAATAGCCAATTTACAAGCGCTGATAAAAGTACGAGCTACATCTCCAATTAGCAAGAACTATACACCGGCAGATAGTAGAACACTTCTTCTAGCACTGAGGACACGTTCCCCCATCTTCATTCTTGGGTTTTCTTGAAATAAACAATTTTGAAATTGTCCACTCCATCATGCTGAACTTCAGCCAAGCTCATACCTGCCCAGGAAAGCTCGCCCCTCCGCGACGTCTCCTTCAGCAATTTCTACTCCAAAGCTACTCCCAACACTGCAGAACAAAGTGTATCGTTGACCCTGAAAAGGAAAATCAGCGATGATCACGTGTCACTCCAAACGACAAGCTTCTCCTTGAGCTACCCCCACTTTTTGGTGCGACTGTTGATGCAAAAGTGACCGAGTCCTGAGCAAAGGTTTTGAATTTTACAGCAAGAGGTACAGTGAAATCACGTGCTTCATGACGCAGGATGACGTTTTCCGGATCACGACACGAAGCAATTGATCACGATCGTGCCTGGCACGCTACTCGGAACGGACCGTGATGGCTGAGGTAAGGTCAGGGCCTGCTGGAGAGCCGGGTCAGCCGGGTCACGCGCCCGGCTGGGGAACTGCACGACCTGGCTGAACAGATAACACCGGGTCCAGTCTGACCCGGCTGAAAAATGTCTCAAACTGACAATGGATTCCTAAAATACCGGTATTTTACGATTTGCGGACCCCATCTGTTGCAAATCTTGTAACCGTACACACTACAGTCTACAAGCGACAGAAACTTGGCTAGGGTCAACTGGGGTCAACTGGTTCGAGCGCGATCTGGCCAGCGGCGAGCAGGAAGTCAGGACATTCAAAGTCAATGGGGCAGGCAGTCAAAAGCGTAACTTTGGCTATAGCTTTTGACACAGTTGCAAGTTTTCAGCCGACTGGTGATTCGGACGATGGAGCACTAATTAGAAAACAGAATTCCTTTTTTCAAATTGTTAAATCAGAATCCAATGGAACTGCTTTGCATTCATGTCGTTTACCTTCTACGTTTGCGGACTTCGATAGTTCGCCTTGTTCTCTAAAATTTCCGATTTCCGGTAATAAATTCGCCTTTCTGTTTTCCTGCGTTTTGAGCAGGCTTTTTGGTTGTTTTTCTGCCGGATGGTCAGGCTGACCCGGCTTGACCCGGCTGGCCTGCATGCGCCAGGTACACTCTGACCGGGCTGTGTTGAATGTCTAGAGCAGGCCCTGAAGGTGCGCTGCATTTCCTGCATGGTCTGCTCAGAACCCCAACAAACTGTCCTAGGAGTGTTGCAATGGCAATACGCCTTTGAAATATTCCCCCGTACAGCAAGGAGAGTTATGCATCTTTTACTCTTACCTCCTGCTATCCCGAACATGGTCCAACAGTAAAAATCCCTTGGGTTCATGCCGATGCTCGACAAGAGCTGCTAGCGTGGTCGCTTTGTGTTGACTGGTACAAACAGTGCTTTATGCATGAACCGCATGGCAGATTTATTACGTCATTAGGAACGTGATTTTAATGGTCTTCAAGCTACATGGCCAGGGAAAGTCCCAGTTCGCAGGCCTACAACACGGCCAGCGTGTTCTTAGGCTTTGTGACAACGCGAGTGTGATCGCTTCTAGAGCAACGGGCGTTGAAGCCAAGTAACAACGCACTTGACCAAGCTGACTTGGATATTTCGTGAGCTGAGATTCACGAGACTTGTCATTCTTGTGTAACGAGGCACGTGATGTCACCATGCCTCTTGCAGTAAAATTCAATACCTTCGCTCAGGATGTCACTTTGGCATAAGAGATCGCACCAAAAATTGTTGCGCACTAGAAGCTTGTCATTTGGAGTGACAAGTGATCACCGCCACTTTTCCTTTTCAGAGTCAACAATACACTTTGTTCTGCAGCTTTGGGAGCAGTGTTGGAGTAGGAAAATGCTGAGGATACTTCACGGAGGGGCGAGCTTTTCTGGGCAGGTATGAGTTTGGCCGTATTTCTGCATGATGGAGAGGAAAATTTCAAAATTGTCTTTTTCAAGAAAACCCAAGAACGCTGTTGGAGATCTTCAATTATCTTATTATTGAGTTGAAGTGTCGACAATTTTATGAATTAGTGCTTACTTCACTTTTAGCTGCAAGTCCTGTCACAAGATAAGTCTCGTTACAAGATAACGTTTTTGATAGCCCAGAGATTATCTACTAATGAGGGAGGACCTGTACTTTGGTATTCTCAGACATGCTCTCTTAATTTTGCAGCCATCACACTTTTTTGTTTTAAATCTTACCGAATAGTAGTCCGTAAACGAAGTGACTTGAAGTCACTCCCTCAAGACACGCCTGCCGCCCTCGCTATGCGGAGTTACTTCACCTGTGGGGACAAGGTATGGCGAGGGCGGCCACGGACAACCATCGTGTCCACACTATCCGCGGACCTAGAATCAGCAGGACTGAGGAGTCTGAGGAACTTGGCAGACCTGGAACACCTGCGGGCCATCGCCGCTGACAGGCCTGCGTGGCGCGAGCTGTGCCAGGATGTACGCAGTAACTAACGGATGGGACAGAGGCATTGTACAGATCCCGTGCATTTAGCACTTACCATCGACCATGAGTTACAAACCTATCGTCGTTGTCTGTTATTCTTGTTTTATTTTTTGATCTTTCGAATAGATCCCGTGCATTGAGCACCTATCATCGAACATGAGTTATGTGTCTATCGCCTGCTGTCTAACATTTATTTTTTACTTTTATTTATTTTTGTTTTCCTCCCTGCCCACTCTGCCTGTCTTCTGGCACATGCGAATACGTGGACTTACTGTTGACGTAAACGCGGACGTGCGTATAATATAATAATAAACGAAGTGTTCAAGTTGCAGGCACTGCATGTAACTAGGGGTGAAACGAATTCACCGAATATTCTAGAATTATTCGTTTGGAAAACAATTCGAATTACCGTACTCTCACGATTAGTGCAAAGGGCGCACTATTTTTTCAACGTGCAGCACAAATGGGGCGCTATTCAAGAGAGGGCACTATTCAAGAGAGAGAGAGAGCACTATTTTTTCAATGCTGGCACATTTACGTCATCTAGCATAAAAACAAAGAAGGCAAAGAAAACTGAACCTAATGTGTTCTGTAAACTATCACGACTCCACAGAAAGGGCACCAGGAACTGCGATTTGGATCCTGAAACCACCAGTTCGATGACATGGACAAGAACATTACCAAAAGAGCACCTAACTTTCACATGCTCTTGGTTACAAGACGGGGGGGGGGGGGAACTATTCAAGAGAGGGCCATATTAATATTTTGTTCACTAGCTCTTAGAGACTGGGGAACTATTCAAGAGAGGGCTTTAATCGCACAAGTACAGTATTCGTTTTGATGTAACATAACACGGTGTAAAAATTTCATTAGTGAATTTTTTTAATCCGCAAAAAGATGTAACGCTACCACGCTGAGATGTCGACGCAATGTGGCCCCGATATCACTCTAAATTTGCCCAAACAAACAATGAACGAATATGGGTAACTCAGGAGGAGTGTTTTGCAAACCCAAAGAGAGCCATAAACCCGCTGAGATCTGCTTGTTACGTGGCAATTTCCCGCTGAGGAAACATACTTGCTGGTTTGGTCAACAAACATGACAGTTTGGACTGAGCCCGGATGATGGATTTGCTAAGTTCCGTGTTGTTTGCTGACACGGTAGGTCGACCACAGGCACAAGGCCAGAGAACTTTGTGCAGACCTATCCACAGGAAAAGCTTGTGCCTTAACAAGCATCAATAAACAGTGCTTATTACACTACATTCATGCCATAGAGTCTATTGACGAGGCAGCAGGGAGGGGGGCGGGGGGGGGGCTGGGGGTACCCAGCCTTCAATATTCTCTTCGTTTAAAACTTACGTTCCTGGGTTGTAACAATAGTTTGGGTTAGATTCGGTCCTCTTCCACCGGATGATATGGCAGCCATTGAGAATGTGTAATTCGTGCTGAAATTTAAATCAGAGACTATTTTCTGAGCGACAGAAGGGTCAACACGTATATTGTGAACATTGCTTGTGGCTCCATATTCGTTGTAGAATATATCATACCCTTTTGGATCACCATTGATATGCGGTTTTTTTACCTTTGTCCACACCAAGCGGACAGAAGTGGCACCAGGAAATAGATTAAATACGGGAGATTGAGACGGAGCTGTATATTTGAATGAGAGAAAATCAGGACAAATACAAGTAAACGAATAAGCGGCACGGAGACAATAACGTTGTTATTGCAATCAGCAGAATCAGTGAAGCGCACATTGGACATAGTAATGAACAAGAATAAAATATGGATAATAAAATTTCCTAGCAAGTTTTCTAGAGGCGTTCATCAGGGACATACGTCTCAATAATGAAATCTAGCAGTAAACAACAATATATACGCGCCATACTTTTCTCTTCGCGTACCCCTGTTATTAGTTCTCACTTCTCTAGTCTTTCTCACTTCACCTTCTTTTCTCCAATTTTTTCATATAGTGCATTTCGTACTCTTCCACATATATAATGTTGTTTACTGCTAGATTTCATAATTACGACGTATTTTCCTGATGAATGTCTGTAGAAAACCTGCTAGGAAATTTTATTATCCATATTTTATTCTTGTTCATTACTACGTCCAAGCGGTTTTTCCAGCCGTGCTGCTACCCACAGTCAACTGGGTACTTGTGGCCAGGCACAAGGGGTACATGGATGCAGCTAATGGGGTCGTTCTCGGCACTTGTGCCAGTGGTTGTGAGACTTATCCACTCACCCCCACCGTTAGGCGCTGCATCTGCCGCTAGGATTTACTGGGTGTTAGCGGCCGTCGTGAGTTCCCTTCGGGAACGGACACGATAATTTACTTTTTTTTTTTACTACGTCCAATGTCCGCTTCGCTGATTCTGTTGATTGCCATAATAAAATACAAGTAAACACTTACATAGAAAAGCCATAATAGAAGACTAATGGCAGCATGGTTGACGACAAATTAAGTTCCATGCTGGCTGCATACCTCAACATAGTTTGTGGCTGAAAGACTAGAAAAAGACACCCTTGAAATATCGTGCTTAACCCTTTTCATGCCAGCAAGTTTTTCCCTGTATTGGCCGCACTTGTCTCTGCACTGCGCTCACCTGTTCAAAGCCGCAAGCGCAGCTCGGGATGAAATTTATTCCTATTTCACTGTACCTTGATGGATTTTCACGATCCATGACTTGTTGGAAAGATCTTGACCATGGGATGCCATTCCATGGGCTCATAGCTTGATAGGCATACCAGGGTTACTTCCACCTCCTCTCCAAGTCCCCTACCATGCCTGGAAATATCAAAACGACTGGTTCTCGTGTTTTCTTTCGTCTTCTTGCTCATAGTGAACGGATTTTCACGATTCAAACTGGAAATGCTGAGAATCAAGCTGAGATTCAAGTGTGCTCGTTGAAGTTCACTGTGCATGCCCTATCTCTAGGGAAAATCCCTAGCCCGCGCGAAGTCGAAAACAAGAATTGTATCGACAACCAAAATGTGAAATTTGCGCATTCTGGCCATTCAATGTTTCGCTGCTCGGTCATACCTTGTCGTATCGCAAAGAACTTTATACCCCTGGAAAGCTGAAACCTTTCGAGCGGTGTCTCATTTTCTAGAAATCCGAGAATTTCGCACTGAATTATGACAGTTTGTACACTCGTCTATAGCCTGCAATAAACATGTTTTGTACAGCTTAGCATCTTCTGAACATTTTGAGCCATCGATTGTCAAAATCGGCCAATATTGTGCTACCTTATACAGTTTCGAAGTGAGGTAAGTCGGCAGGGGCGTACGAGAACTCCCGTGCGCGACGACAAGGAAGGAAGCATGTGTATATACGTTGTAGATGCTGAAACTATACCAGCGAGGCAGCAGCAAGGCGTTTTTTGCAATGTTTCCTCCGTGACTGACAAACTCTTGAAAACTCTTCACTGTTTGCTGTCGGCATGTCATCGGTGCTCTACTGCTGTGTGCTTCAGCAGCTATGGCGAACCTAAAATACTTGACCAGTACAACGGCGAAGCCATTTGATTCGTTCTCTTGCAACGAAACAGAGTGGTATATCAAATAATTCACAACTCTCCATCGTCACTTCTCACAGCAGCGTGGCACGGCTCTTTCACTCGTATACGTGTATTTACAAAACACTCTGAGAACAGAGATAACGAGCTAGAACTGGAACACGGTGTGAGTCTTTTCTTCATTCCGTCAAGGAGCTCTTGTTCTCTATCTCTCCTCACCTGCGCCAGCGCATCAGCGGACGAGATAGATGTTGATCCCTTTCTCAGCAAAGACTGCAGAAATTGCAACTTCTACTTATCGCAGGAGTCCGCGTGCGAAATGTCTGAAGCCTTCGGCTTACGAGGCCAACACTGCTCCCAACACATGGGCTCGGAAAGAAACAATAATAACGACGGTGAACGGTAACCAAACTCACTGCGCAATTTACCAAAGTGGAACGAAAGGCCCCAGCCGGTCTCCGTCTTCCTCAGTTCTACTTCTTCTTGTCAGTCACTGCAACTCACAAAACCTCGAGTCCTTGCTGTGCTCCACGCACTGCCGCGTGCATGTAGCTCAGGTCACGCGATCTCATTTCTATGGTGATCAGATTTCAAGATGTCCTCCCACGTAATCGAGTTTTGGCATCCCAACCGTGTGCCCTGACAGTGTACATTGCACAATGTAGACAGAACGCGTGAACGCGTCCATGGCCAATCTGCTCATACTGAAAAAAACGTGTAAACGGGTCCATGGCGCGGAAAAGGTTAAAGGGGAAGTGCATCGATTTTTCAAGTAGGGTCCAGATGAAAAATAATTTGATATCGATTCGAATGGCATATCTCTTGCTTGCATATGATAAGCCAAACTTAATGTAAAAAACTTATCGATGACGCACATTCTGCTTAGCTCCGTGAGAGAGAGAAGGTCGATCACGGCAGAATTTGGTTATTTTCAATTGGTTTATTGCATTCACGAAGTGAAAGAAGTGCTGTATTCAATGCTGTTAATGCCGTGAACTGTTTGTCGGCCCGCATAGCCAGCAATCGTATGTCATCACGTACATTGAAAATCAACATATTTTGCGAATCGAACTTTTTTCAGCATCATTTTTCAACGAGGACGAAGCAAGGTCGGCCGAACGAAGCCTAGAGGAAGAGAATCATCTTGTCCACTTCACCATGACCATACTGACATACATGTAGGTACGAGATGAAACAACTAAAAAGTCAACAAGAAAACTGCACGCCCACCGCCGCGCTGAATTTGGTCTGACAATTTTCTATAACCACCAAAATGCACGAGGAGCAGTCAAAAATCAGCTACAGACGTACCTTTGTCGCTCTCTACTCCTTTTTCAAGCCACGAAAGTCGCCTGTCCACTTTCAAACCGGGAACCGAAAAATAGTCTATTTCAGAACAGCAACTAGCTTTGACTAGCTACAAAGATTACACCAAAGGATCAAACAACAACCAGTTTCTTCAGTTTTTTGGCAGAAGACTTCCTTGTGCTTGGCCCAGCAGGCCAAAAATCACACTTTGTTGGAGGGCAAAAATTACAACTATCAGATGTCCTCGATTGCTGGCCATATCCTGCATATCCCTAGGCTTACTGCAGCCTAGGAAATGGCTCCTCTTGTAGAAGGTGCTTGGTATTCGCCATCTCTTCTGAGAAATGTTCAGCAAACTGTCCAAAAAGTACGACATAATTTCGTTCGTCAATCTTCACCACCCGTCGTCTCACCTGGGTTCAGAAGATGTTTCGAGAGATAGAAGAGTTGCCAGGAAGCATCACATCCATCTTCAGCAAGTTGAAAGATCAAACGGCGTGGTCCTTGGTTTGGGTAAATGCTGAACGTCTCATTTGTCCCAACCAAGATTTCACCACTTTGTTCGTCACTATTTTCGCTTGTCTGCTGATGTCTCCTCACTCCAGCTTTCTCCTGTCGGTGTTACGTCAAAGTACACAGCCGAGAGGACTAATAGTGAACAGTTCACGACACTAACAGAATTGAATACATCCTTCTTTCACTTTGTGAACACAATAAATTGAAAATGACCAAATTTTGCAATGATCTACCTTCTCTCCCAAGGTGCTAAGCAGAACGTGCGTCATCAATGCGCTGGTCGCTATAGTAACGTGAGCATACAATTGGTGATTTGGCACGCTTGGCTTATCGTATGGAAGCGAGAGATGTGCCATTCGAACCGACATCAAATTGTCTTTCATCTGAACCCTACTTGAAACATCGATGCACTTCCCCGTTAAAAGTTTGTTGCCGAATACACGAAGTGTACAACATGTGCAGAGGTGCTAAGTTGAAGTGCAATTTAATGATTGACATACATTTAACTGAGGTGGCTTACCTGAAGCGCTGGTCATCACAATCACAGCAGCAGTAAACTGTGATGGCAGTTGACCAGTTTTTGTGTTGGAAGATACTGAGTAGTTTGTGTATGGATAGAGACCTGATATCGTCACATTCAAAGTGTTTTGGCATAGAACATATTTGAATGTATTATTTTTCACACAGAAATCTGTGGTCCTGTTTTCAAAGGCGGAAAAGTGTGCAGTTATTGATGTTGAATTGCTGGAGTATGTCACAGTCGGGAGCATTGCTGAAAATAGAAGCAGCAGCAGATAAAAAAATACATTCACAACCATGTCCTTCACAAAACGTTCATGCTATATCTGCCTCTTGTGAATTACTTGGCAGCTCTATTCAGTTTAAATCTTTTGAAATCTTAACCCTTTAAGAGCCACAGGAAATTTTCAAAATTCTGCATTTTTCGTGTTCCTTGGATCATAGCTTCAGTTCTACTCACTCAATCCTCACAATCTAGGGCTTCCTGGAAAGGTCTCCGCGAGAGGAAGAGAATGAGGTCGATCATGATAGCCAGCACACCGTCTATCCAGCGCTAGATCGCAGCGACAGTACGAAAAATGCCCCAAATGCGTCCAATTGCGTCCCGCTCCAGATGTTTCATTTTACTCGATTGTGGAGTTCCAATTTTTTCGCTGTGTACTCTTGACAATATCAACAGTGAAACCCGTGCAAAATCGAGTACACCAACTTGTGGAAAAGTCTCAAAATTCTCAATACTAAAGTCGCACTGCGCGCTTTTGAAATTGCCGCGATCGCGGCTCAACTTACGTGTGATTTATCTCAGGAACCGTTGCTCGCAGCGCTTCGCGGATTGTTTCTCCCGACAGGTGAGAGTTTTCTCTTCGCCCTGGATATTTCGATCACTGGATTTGAGCGAGATTGGACTGAGTTACGATCTTTTGAAGTTTTGCATTTGAATGCGTCGTTTACGACGCATTCAAGTATGGGGCGGCTCTTAAAGGGTTAAGAGGTGCTAGGATGCGCCTTCCCACTTGGAAGGTTCAAAGTTATACGATTACATACAGCTGTTGGAGTGCGCATGCAAGACGTGCTAGAGCTCATGGTCAGTTAGTTGTAGAACGTCAGTACCGTTGGTCAGTGTCGTACAGTGTTATCGCATGGGCTGATTGTTTCGTTACTGGTGGTGTTTGTGGACATTATAACATAACTTGTACTTCCTTGGTTCTTTTCTCTACTATAAACTCTCGTTGAAATCAAAAATATCTTACGTAGACATGGTTGCACACCAGGCACTGTCCAAGTACCATTGGCTTGGCATGTGATAGTTTGTGTTGTTGCAGAAGGATTGACGGCATAGTCAGGAGAACAAGTTATTGTCTTGGTACTGCCGACTGTTGTATAACTGTAGGTGTATAATTTTGATAAAATGTATATTTTGCACAGTTAGGGGCCGTCTGTAAGTATCGGTATTTTTTTAAAGACGATATTATTTTGTTCGTGTGTGTGTGTGGTGGGGGAGGGGGCTTTGGCGCTGTTCGTTGTTTTTGGCGTAAATATAGATGTTCACATACGCTACTTTTAGGTATGCACCTGGTACTTGCTTGTTGCGACTCGTGCACCATGCTGCATGCAGGCACTTGAACCTTGTGACTTGTAGTAGTACGGCAGCACAGGGTCCGCATTCAGAGAGAGAGAAGAGAAGAGAGAGAGACTTGTAGGGAGAGAAGAGAAGAGAGAGGGAGAAGAGAAGAGAGAGAGAAGAGAGAGAGAAGAGAGAGAAGAGAAGAGAAGAGAAAAGAAGAGGGAGAGGGAGAGGGAGAGGGAGAAGGAGAAGGAGAGGGAGAGGGAGAGGGAGAGGGAGAGAGAGAGAGAGAGAGAGAGAGAGAGAGAGAGAGAGTTAGAGAGAGAGAGAGAGAGAGAGAGAGAGAGAGAGAGAAAGAGAGAGAAAAAGAGAGAGAGAGAGAGAGAGAGAGAGAGAGAGAGAGAGAGAGAGAGAGAGAGAGAGAGAGAGAGAGAGAGAGAAGAGAGAAGAGAAGAGAGAGAGAAGAAGAGAGAGAGAAGAGAAAAGAGAGAGAAGAGAGAGAGAGAAGAGAAGAGAGAGAGAAGAGAAGAAAGAGAGAAGAGAAGAGAGAAGAGAAGACAGAGAGAAGAGAAGAGAGAGAGAAAAGAAGAGAGAGAGAAGAGAAGAGAGAGAAGAGAAGAGAGAAGAGAAGAGAAGAAAGAGAGAAGAGAAGAGAGAGAGAAGAGAAGAGAGAGAGAGAAGAGAAGAGAGAGAGAGAGAAGAGAGAGAGAAGAGAAGAGAGAGAGAAAGAGAAGAGAGAGAGAAGAGAAGAGAGAGAAGAGAGAGAGAAGAAGAGAGAGAGAAGAGAAGAGAAGAGAGAGAGAGAAGAGAGAGAACAGAAGAGAGAGAAGAGAAGTGAGAGAAGAGAAGAGAGAGAGAGAGAAGAGAAGAGAGAGAGAGAGAAGAGAGAGAGAGAGAGAGAGAGAGAGAGAGAGAGAGAGAGAGAGAGAAGAAGAGAGAGAAGAGAGAAGAGAGAGAGAGAGAGAGAAGAGAAGAGAGAGAGAAGAGAAGAGAGAGAAGAGAAGGAGAGAAGAGAGAAGAGAGAGAGAAGAAGAGAGAGAAGAGAAGAGAAGAGAGAAGAAAAGAAAATAGAAGAGAAGGAGAGAGAGAGAAGAGAAGCGCTGATGTGCTTCCTCAAGGTTTGTGGACTTCAGGACAGAGGATATGAAATAATCGGCATCATAAGGCGGTGTCCTTCACCGCCATGTGCAGGCGGCCTGCAAGCGTTTGTTCATCCCTGGCAACTGCGTTAGAGTTGACGAGCGCATGGTCAAGTGCAAGGGACGCGCTCCTTTTCCGCAGTTTATGCCCAAAAGCCCGTCAAATGGGGCTTCAAGGTCTTCGCTGCCTGCGACCCCCAAAGCCCCATTGTGTAAACTTTGAAGTTTACACAGGCCAGCAACCTGGAGGTGAAAATGGCCTGACTCATGCTGTGGTGATGCGGCTTGTCAGTGACGTGCGCGCCGGAAGTGTGATCTACACGGACAATTTTTACACTTCCGAAATCCTGGCCACATCTCTTCGTACCAAAGCAAATATCGTTGGTTGGCACCATCCGCGCGAACCGCACTGGATTTCCAGCCGTATTGCGGACCGACATGAAACAGTTCGAGAAACATGCAGAGCGAGGTGCAACACGCTATGTTCGCAACGGAGATCACCTGTACCAGCAATGGAAGGACAAGCGGTGTGTGTCAATGTACAGCAACATACATCAGGGCCATAAGCATGACACAGTGACAAGAAATGTCAAGATTGATGGTGCACACCAGCAAATGGAAGTGGAGAGGCCAGTGTCCATCAGAGACTACAGCAGCAGCGTGGGTGGAGTCGACACGTTCGATCAGCTGATCGAAACGCATCGTGTGCTTTCGCAAAACGAAGAAATACGGAAGAGTCTTTTCTTGGATATGGTTGACTTGTGCGCTGTCAATGCATACCGCCGCTTTCACTTGTGGCAGAGCCAGCATCTAGGGGTGATAACTCGATGATGCAACTTGCAGCACTCAGATTTCCCCTGTAACCTCATCCGGCAGCTGTCATCGATTGATGAGCATGCACCGCCACCGAAGCGCTCGTATCGCCCAGTGCCTGTTCCACAGGATGTCCAGGTTACTGTTGCTCAGCTTCAGATACCTGGAGTGAGGAAAAGGAAGAACTGCAGAAACTGCACAGAAGTGGGTAACAAGCAGCACCAGTGTGCTACCTACTGCACTACGTGCGATGTTCACCTCCACGTCAGGCGAAATCATAGCCAGCAATCGCATGTCATCTCGTACATTGAAAATCAACATAATTTTGCGAATCGACCTTTTTTCAGGATCACTTTTCAACGAGGACGAAGCAAAGTCGGCCGAACGAAGCCTAGAGGAAGAAAATCACCCTCTCCACTTCACCATCACGATACTGACATAGATACGAGATGAAACAACTAAAAAATTCACAAGAAAACTGTACGACCATCATCGCGCTGACTTTGGTCTGACTTTGGTCTGAGAATTTCTATCACGATCAAAAATGTACGAGGAGCACTCAAAAATCAGCCACAGACGTACCTTTATCGCTCTCTACTCCTTTTTCAAGGCACAAAAGTCGACTCTCCACTTTCAAACCAGGAACCAGACATACCAGTGGTCCTTTTCAGCTGCTCCACGAGCGCAGGAAATGTTCACCAAGGGGCGCAGAGCAGCATCCATTCCAGAAAAATAGCTAAAATACGAGTGAGACTGCATGCCTGAGTACATGAGTACATGTATGAGTACATGCAGAAAATAGTCAATTTCAGCGTTTCTGCTCCAAACAGCAACCAGCTTCGACTAGAAACAAAGATTACACCAAAGGATCAAACAACAACGATTTTCTGCAGTTTTTTGCAGTTGGCTTCCTTGTGCTTGGCCCAGCACGCCAAAAATCACACCTCGGAGGAGTACAAAAATTACAACTCTCAGATGTCCTTGATTGCTGGCCATGAGCACGTCATAGTACATTTGAGATCAGCGGGAAGAAGATGACGACGTCCACTGTCTTAGTATCTGTGCACACGAATCTGCTGTGTGTGTGACTCTGTGTGTCAGCTATGATATCATCTTCTGTGGTTCCATGCCTAGCATGTACGTCTGAACCATCCTGCAAAGTTTGAATGACGTAGGTTGAGCGATCGCTCCGCGAAACATACTTTTTGAAATTCTCTCCATAGTATATCTTCCACCATTGAAATTTCGAATTTCTTCAAAAAAAGTGCTGAGATGGGTGGCTTGCAACCTCGATATGGCTTGTTCCAGGCATGCTTTGGAGCCATCTTCTGTTGAAGTAGTGGCGGGGATCTGCCCTGCAACTGCTACAACAAAAAATGATTCGATCTGAGAAAGGGTGAGACCGCGAATCTCGGTTGAATATTGAGTCACGATGATTTCAAGCCTTGTCACGACGAAGATGGAGTTCTTTTTGGAGATGGACGTCGCGGCAAGGGACATGGTGTCCGACTTCTGGCGTCTGGTGAAGCCAGGGATCATTTTTCCAGTCAGGTCGGCAGCCTAACCGTCGGTAAGCTTGTGTTTGGATCCCGTTCTGCTCGATGTGGTAGATCACAAACAATTTGATATTGCACAAATTGATCTCAGCATCGTGCGTACGGTATTTTATGTTCAGAAAATCCCAAAGTGTCTGTGTATGGCCGCCTTATGCCACGAGAAACTCCAATCAGGCTCCTTTGTCCTCTGCCTTCATGATTGAATGTCCACTTCGTTTGAACAACGAACACAACAATCGAGGACGGCTTTGCAATGAAAAATACAGCTATGCTGGAGCTGAAAAAACGGAGAAAAAAACGTGCTCAGGATGAGACTCGAGTACACGCATACTCTCCCCGCAGGTGAAACGCAAATTTTTGTGAAAAATGCGTGTCGCCGATTGACCAGTAATTTCGCCTGACGTGCGCATCACGTGTCTTCGTTTAGCGTCGGGATATCTTCAGTTTTCCTTCCACTTCTGAGGGAGCTGATCCTTAGCTGATGACGGACAGCAAGGTGAGTATACCGGCGTCGGATATCGGATCCACATCAAGTGTTAGTAGGAAATCGGCCGGCAGATCGGTCACTAAACCCAGATCTGTTTCCAGAAGTTGGAGTTATCAGAAGGCCAGATGTTCACTTCCATAAAGACCTTTATGTCCCGATTCGATCAGGCGTCCGGGAGTCTGTCAAGCAAACCGATCCGTCGATAATGATTGGGACTTTATGTTCGAGGGGGAAGATGAGTCCAGCCCAGAGGAAATGCCATGTCTGGCAGATTATGTGACTGCGACTACTAATAGCAGAGAATACAGCGAAGTTTGCCACGTTCAAAGGGTTACTCAAGCAGCCCTCGAATTGCACCACCCTGGTTACGGCTATGATGACGACAACAAGAAACGACGGACCAAAGGTCCCGTCGCTTGGAGATGCGCAAACTTCGTCACAGGATGTATTGAAAGCAAACACACTGAGTGTTCGGGGTGTTGTTGTTGTTGTTGTTTGTTGTTGTTTGTTTATTTAGAGTCGAAGAACAAACAGGCAAATTAGCCTGATCACATGATATCGACTAAAAAGGAGGATAAAGTATAGAAGGCCAGTGAAGGTAATGATACTGAATAGAGTGGGTAATAAAGTTTTAAAAAGCCAGTTAGGCCAGTAAAGGAAATGATAATACAGCGGGTAGTGGCATTACTGAAAAGCAGCATGTCCTGTGAGGGATGGTGCTGAGTCGAATAGTCTTTGTCCCAGGAAGCTGAGACTCTCCCTTCATCCTTTGTTCCCAATCCAACTTGCGCACTCCCACCGGAACTGGGTGACTGCGCCCTACTGGATGGCGATTTGTATGCAAAATGTCACTAAAAGCGCCATTTTGCTCTTCTTAAAGCACGAATGACGGCGATTGGCCCATATCTTGTAGTCTTTTGGACACTGAGTCGACTGGTTTTGGTCCGAAAAGGCGGCGATACAGCGTTCGGCTCTTATTCCTAATCGAACATGGCTGAACAAGCGGTCACGTGCTCGTGCGTACACCAGTCACCTGGTCACTGTGCCTGCAGGCTACAACTTACAGCATGTTTGGTAGAGTTTACGTCACTCGAGTCGAACCTTTGAACCTTTGAGTTGAACCTTGGTGTGAAAGTTGTCGCCTGCTGGCACGGTGACCAGGTGACTGGTGTGCGCACGAGCACGTGATCGCTTGTTCAGCCATGTTCGATTGGGAATAAGGGCCGAATAGTACATCGCCGCTTTTTTGGACCAAAACCAACCGACTCAGCATCCCAAAGACTAGAACATATGGGCCAATCGCGGTCATTCGTGCTTTTATAAGAACGAAATGGCGTTTTTAGTGACATTTTGCATACAAATCGCTATCTAGTAGGGCGCAGTCACCGGGTTTCGGTGGAAGTGTGCGAGTTCGATTGGGAATAAAGGAGAAGGGGAACGTCGCAGCTTCCTCGGATCAAGACCATTCGACTCAGCACCCCGAAGATTGCTGAGTACGAGTTAACTCGCGCTTTATTCATGACCTGATCCACTACGTACGAGTTAACTCGCAAAAACATTCGCGCGATATATCACAGTGCATAGACCAGTGTACAAACTTTTGTAACTTCGTCAACCATAAACGCATCGCGACAATAAACACACCTTTGAAAAGGTCTTGACCTTATCTTTCCGAGGATATGAAGATCTTCGCCATTGGATAAGAATTCATTGAGCGGCGACAAGATGAACACGGAAATCACAGCCCAGAGTGAAGGCGAATTTGTTTGTGCATGACTTCATTTTGTAGGGGAGCGTGCCAGGGGATTTCCCTTTGGCACGGCGCATGCGTAATGGACATCAAATGAAGCGCTTGGATCTCAGCTTTGCAGCGCAGTTTGAATTGTGAAAATCGGTTGAATTTGGGCAAGAAGCCGAACAAGAATGTGAAATTGAGTTGTTGTGCCGTTCCGAGGCACGGTGGAGTAGTTTGGAGAGGACATGGAAGTGTCCCTGATGTGTCTATGGAGCTGATACCTGCCAGAATGGATTCGCTTAGTCCTGATCTTTCCAACGAGCCAAGGACGATGAAAATCCATCAAGGTGGAGTGAAATGAGAATAAATTTCGTTCGGAGCTGTAAGTGCATACTCCACTAAGAGAGTCAGTGCGCTGGAAAGCCAGTAGATTGGAGAAAAGGGGCTCAGCATGCAAAGGGTTAAAACATTAGAAATACTCACGGATACAAGGATTCGTAAGCGTCGGTGTCCAACTACCATCAGTGCCACAAGATATTTTCTGTGATGTCGTAGTATCAGCTGTATATCCAGTATCACACATCACCGTGAGTTTACTTCCAGCTGTTGTTGGACTTCCAGTTGGGAATGTACCATGAGGAATATTGCCTGGTGGTGATCCACAGTCCCCTGTGTGTGCAGCGGATTAGAAATACAAAAATAATGATTAGTTACATATTATGTAGAAAGGGAAAGGACATACAGTCAAGACCACCAAAAGAACAATTTTTGCCTTAAAGTAGGTTGCGTGTATTGAGGCTCTCGTTTTTCCGTAGTTTTTAGGTAGCTTTTGGGGACTAGCCCCAACAGCCTGGGTGGGATGGCTAGCCCAGATCACACTGAGCAGCTGGTGAGCGCCGAACAGGTCCATACACAGCTTCGTTCATTGCCTAGCATCGAACACAATATTGTAGAAGTGCTGAGAACTCTAGCTCGTCTTGAAAGCCAACTTCAGGACCAGGAGAAACGATATCAACGAAGGATTAGTGGATTGAGCTCCGAACTTTCCCAGCTGAGAGAGGATCTGGCCGACACTCGCCTATGCCAAAATTTGGACATCGGCAATGTTACGTGTGCGTCTTGTAAATCAAACTCCTCCGCCATTGCAGACCTAGAGAGAGAGAGAGCAAGAAACAACCAGCCAGAGGCAGCGCCGAAATCGAAATAAACGTAGTACAGGCACAGAAAGTCGTTCACAGTCCGCCGTACCCGTAGAGAGTTCACGACCCATTGATCCCGAGATGGACCTGACCAGCAGTGTCAGATCCGACGTTGACAGCTCAAACAAGCCGTCCAACTCCCGTACACATGGTACACCCGGACCAGCTCGGAGTTGACCCCGCCACGTGTGGATCGCTTGCCGAAATTTGAAGAGATGAGTGAGGATTCGGACGCCACATGGCGACTCATCACCTCCACCAAACCCACAGCGAAGAAGAGAGTCCTGTTTGTCGGAAATCTGATGCATGCAATTACTGCAGACCAGCTGAAGGAGTTCATCGCAGCAAGAGCAGCTGAGGCTGACCACAATGTCCAAGTGTTTGACGTAAAAATATTTCAAAAAGAAAAATCCTCCACTGCGCGTATTGTTGCCAGTGCAGCGGACGAATCGTTTCTCAGCAACAAGCGCTTCTGGCCAAGGCCTGTGTACACAAGAGAGTGGAACTTCGATAAGTACACCCAGTCTGATGCCAGTGGAGATCAACAAACAGCGCAGAGCAGCACCACGACCACCAACAGCAGCAGCAGCCGCACGGACCACAGTAAGAGCGGATACGGCGTGGATTGCGATATCCTAGATGACACCTGTGGAGCACCGGCCCGGACTCCAGGCCAGAAATCACGGGGCTATCAGCGTGACTCGCCGCCCGAGACGCAAGCTGCGAAGTTTAGTGTCACTGTTGGCAACGCATTTGCATCTCTAAGTCAGGATGTGGATAATATATCTGTGCAATGACTGGAAGAAGATTAGGCAACGACCCTGCTGCTCATGAACTGAATATGCAAACGCAAACTCCAACAATTCGAATTTTACTGCTGAACATTAGGAGCCTGAGGAACAAAGTTGGAGAGCTGGCATGGCTTGCCGACCTTCACAGTCCTGACATCATCTGTGTAAACGAGACCTGGCTAGACGACACCGTGTCTGATGGAGAGATAGCTTTGGATGGCTTCAACATACTGCGCTCAGACAGAAAAGATCAGGCCGGTGGAGGAGTCTGCCTGTACTCCAAGGCATCCCTCCTGGTCAAGCCAAGAATGGACCTCACAGAATCGGCAATTGAGAGCTGCTGGGGAGAAATCCATTGCCAATCTGGAACTTGTTTGATAGGAACCATTTATCGACCTCCATCTGAGCCAGTTCGATACTGGGACTGCCTGGACGACCATCTCCATTCAGCTATAATGCCCGGGAAGAACGTGATTATTTGTGGCGACATCAACATAAACACCAATCCAACAGCACCTCCAGATCCACAGCTTCATTATCTTTCTGACCTCGTGGCCAGCTACAGTTTATATCCCGGAGGTCACCAGCCGACTCGGTTCTCAGCAAACTCTGCACCAACCACACTGGATCAATTTTACAATACATTCGACCCTCTAAATATGGCTACTGTTATCCCCATCGCGTTCAGTGACCATGCAGCAGTTCTCAGTGAATTTCAACTCAGCCCAGTAAGAAGTACTGTAACTTCTGGGCTACGGCGACACTACCGAAACATAAATCATGACCAGTTCAAGGCAGATTTGGTCCAACAGGATTTTTGTGAAATTGACGGAAGCCCAACTGTCATGTGGACTGAGTGGGCCAGCCGCTTTCTACAAGTGTTAGACAGACATGCTCCTCTTGCACCAAGCCCTCGACGCAAGAAAAAATCAGTACCATGGATGAACCGCCAGTTATTACACCTCTTGACCAAACGCAACCGGCTCCATAGGAGGTGGCTTAGTGATGGAACAGAACATTCCCACTCAGCTTTCAAGGCTGCCAGGCGGGAAGCTACCAGCTATAATAGGCAACAGAAAGAGACCTACTACCAATCCAAGTTTCGAGCTGCGTCTGGCAATACCAAACAGACATGGCACACGATCAAAGAATTGAGTGGTAAACATCGACAATCTCAGCCACCTCAATGTTCTGTTGATGCCATCCGAAACACCTTTGCAGAGATAGTAGAGGACGCCAGCCGCCCAGTGCATCTCTCATTTCCCTACGGGCCCGCCTCAAGCACTGATCTGACAGCCTTTGCGCCAGTGTCTATTGCCAGAGTGAGGAAGCTCCTCGAACGTTTAAATCCAGCCAAGTCCAGCGTTGATGATGACATTTCTGCAGCCCTTCTCCGCGCACATGCAGACGTACTGGCGCCATCCCTGACTTTGATCTTTAACAAGTCCCTGAGAGAGGGCATATTTCCTGCCCAGATGAAAAGTGCTAGGATATCGCCATTCTTCAAAGGTGGAGATCCGAGCATGCCAAAGAATCATCGACCAGTGTCCTTGTTATCGATTGCATCCAAAGTGTTGGAAAGGATAGTCCACGAGCAACTCACACGATATCTAGTCCAGAGCAATTTATTCCCGCCAACTCAATTCGGCTACAGATCCCACCACTCTACATCCGACGCACTAGTGCTAGCTGTGGAAGGTATCTGTGAGGCCCATATGAACAAACTCAACACAGGTGTAGCCTTTGTTGATATGTCAAAGGCATTCGATAAAGTGAAACATCAAACTCTTGTGCAAGATCTGTTCGAACTTGGCATCTGCGACACGGCACTCTGTTGGCTGGTGGATTACCTCTCTGATAGAGAACAGTACGTTCAGGTTGGCCAGACTAGAAGTCTCCCGTACACCAGTTACTCAGGTGTCCCCCAGGGGTCGGTACTGGGCCCACTGCTATTTATTGTCTATGCCCGCGGCATAGCAGAAGAACTATCGCCGTTTAATGTGGGAGCAATCCAGTTTGCTGATGACATCTCTAGACGATGTAGCAGGGAGTCTGCGGAAGCTGTTTCTGCACACCTTTCAGCTGCTGTTCAGCACCTGGTCACCTGGCTGAAGGGCCGTGGTTTAATTCTTAATGAAAGAAAGACACAGATATTGCCTATTCCCCCATCCCCATCTCAAGCACTTGAGCTGCATGTCATTTGTAATGGGCAGACGCTGCCTGTTGTGAAAACGGCCAAGTATCTTGGCCTACATTTCGACTCAGACATGAGCTGGAACACCATGACAAGCCATGTTGCACGCCGCGTTGCCACTAAGATTGGGCTACTAAATCGAAGTGCAGCATGTTTGCCTTTTTCTTGCCGTGTTCAGTTTTTCAGGTCCTTTATACTATCAGAATTTGACTATGCATCTGCTGCCTATGCCCCTTTCTTATCGTCTTATCAGGATAAGCGCCTAAATAGTTTGTTCAAACGTGTGGCTCGCTCGGTGTGCAGGGCAGCCCCTCGCACTCACACGGCTCCCTTACTTGAACGCATGAATGCCCATACCCTCAGCATATACACCCACATGCACATTCTTGTATTCATTTGGCGCTGCCTGAACAAATCTTCAAGTACTCTGTTTGCAAGCTTTTTCACCCGTAGTCCCTCTCTCCGAACACGAGGAGGGAGCAGCAAGTTACTCATCATTCCTGTCTCCCCCACTGCATCCTCAGCTAAGCGCATTAGCCATGCTGGAGCTATCCTGTGGAACCAGCTCCCAGACACAGCACGCCTCGAAAGAAAGCGCTCCACTTTCAAATCGCTAAGCCTGGCCTTTCTGTTAGGCAGTACCGTCAACTAGGATGAACTCATCTGCTTCACTACCTCTCTCTCTCTCCCTCTCTCTCTCTCTCTCTCTCTCTCTCTCTCTCTCTCTCTCTCTCTCTCTCTCTCTCTCTCTCTCTCTCTCACACTCACTCACTCCTTTCTTCCCGGTTGCCGTGCTTGTGACTTTTTTCCCCCTGCTGCCGTGCTCATATTAGTTATCTAACTACAGCTGTATCTTCTTCTTGGTTCTGTTTGTCCGCTTATTATTATATATTTTTCTTTTCTCTTATTATCAGTGGGACCATTGTCATTAGGTTTAGGCCTGTTTTGGAACTCCACTTTAAATAAAGCCAAACAACAACAACTTCGCTAATAACGACTGCGGATATAACGACAATTCGCGAATAACGACCGAATTTCCATGCCCAGAGCAAAGTCCCATCTAACTGTATACATTTAACTTCGGATATAACAACTATCTGAATAACGACAATTCGCGTATAGCGACATGCTTTTAGTGCCAGGTGGTCATATTCACTGCTTGAATAACGACTTTCTGGGCTTTTGACAGCTATTTCAAGTACCTAGTACCTGTCAGTCAAGTACAATACCTGTCATGCAGAAGTACCAGAACCTATGGTGCACTGGTGATGGATATTATTATAAAGGCACACATGCAAGAAAATGCAGCCAAGGGGGGGGGGGGGCTTTTTCTTCCTTTTTTATGTTGGCTTCAAAATTGTTGGATTTACCAGCACACCTATATGTATACAATGTACATGTAGTTGTACATGATTTTACAGTAATCATCATACATGTACATGTACATGTCTCTGGCCCTGTAGATGGCTCAAAAAGGCATATTTT